CGCTACCACTTGAGCCACATCCCCAGCCCCAAAATGTCACTTTCTAGGGGAGTAATTTCTCTGGGTCTCTAATCTACAGCAAACTCTTTGTTAAATACTCTCATAGGATAATATATTTTCATTTGTCTCTTAACATATTTAGAAATCATCTATTTATATGTAGAAGTATATATTTAACTAGGATCTCCCATTAGACTAGAAACTCCTGGAAAACAGCCCTGTCTCTCTAACTATATGGCCCAATGTCTGGTATAATCCCTAATTGTGACAGAGCACATATTCAGTAAATATTTACTAAATAGACAAGAAAAGGGAAGGTGGAGCACAAACAGGTCAGAGAATGACCCTAGAAGAAGTAGAGAGTTGGGCAACATCTATAGTCACTTTTCCAATCCCTATTGATTAAGTGCATGAATGTGGTGAAGGAGGAGGGCGTCATGTTCTGCATCTTCCAGAGATTGTAACCTCAGTTGCAGGACCTACTTAGTGCCAGCCCAGAGCCAGAGAGAGGAGCAGCAGAAATCTTTACCTCATTGCCAGCGCCTGGCAGAAATGTCTTCACTTTGATGGTCTTCCCTGGGGCTGGGAAGGGCGACTCCATGAGACTTCTCATGAAGGGATAGACCAATGCAGCCGAGATCCCACGCCGGCGTTCCACCTCATCTAGGACCTGTGCCCACCACCAGCAGCACAAAGTGAAAGGATGTCAAGATCTGCCCTTCCCACCTCAGGTAGAGAGCCAGGTYTGGGAATAAGGAGGGAGTCAGAGAGCTCACTTGTACTTGGTCTTGCATTCTGTCTCCCCTCCCCATCCCACACAGGTGGTTTTCTCATCTAAGCTGGCTGCAGATGGTCCTATGGGAGCTGTCAGCTGGGGGAAGGGGAGCAAGCCAGAGCCTCTTACCTTGGAAAATAAGCCGAAGCAGCCAAGACGGCTGATGACACAGTACACCTCTGGCAACCGAGGCCCTTTCCCACTTGGCTGGCCAGGACAAGGAGGAGAGAGAGAGACACACAGAGAATGCATGAATACCATACCTCACTGCTTTCCTTTCGAATAGAAGACTAAGTACTGCCCTTCAATGGAGGAAGAATGCATGCCTCTTGTACACTCAACCAGGTCCCCAAAAGAAAGGATGCTTTTCTTTGGGGGTAGATGTTAGCCTCTGCTGGGTCTTCTAGCCCAAGAAGCCAGGCTCCTGCCAAACTCTACAAGGCTCCATGTTTCCTTCCAGGACACTGACAGCAGTTGGCAAAGGACAAAGCAGTTTGGCAAAGGCTGCAGGATAATTTGTGGATTTATATTCCTAAGCCTAGATGACAGTGGGAAGGACTTGTGTATGTTCTTTGGAGCAAGCCACATAGCCTTATGCCCTCCAATAAGGGACTTTCTGAAAAATATTCCTTCTGTCACTGCTCTTTTCTCTTTTTCTTGATCCACCCCTGTTCTAGGAAGGCAAACTGAAAACAGATGAGAATGGAATTATTATTTATTAATTGTTTACCATGTCCAAGTTCTGGGCTTGGTACTATTCAAAAAGGGAGAAATGTTATTATCCCCATCTTACAGATAAAGCAACTGAGTTCAAAAATATTAAGCTGCTGCCTAAGATCATGCATTTTAGAAGCTGTGGAGCTGGGAGTCTGTTTTGGTCTCTGTTTTTAATGTCTAACCTTCAAAGCATGCYACTTTCTGACACGAAGGAAGGGAAAGGGACACAAAGACACAGGATATATGCTATGAAGTGAAGAACAAAAAGAGGGCAGAATTTAAAAGGTGGGTGGTTGGAGAAGGTGACAAGCACTTTTGAGTGCCCTAGGCCTGGAGCCCCCTCAAACAGAGGGGGTGAGTTCACTAGAGTCCTTTCAGTCCACTGGAACTGGCAGGACCCTGTTGCTGCCTCCAGACTCAGAGGCCTGGAGTGCCTGGCAAGGACCAGTGGGGAGGGAGCAGAGCAGCAGGTGCTGGCCCCTCATGCAGGCTGCTAAGCAAATGCAGATGGGGCTATTTCAGTCTCCAAACCTGCTGGCCACACGTCACAGATCTAAAGAGAAGGCAGAATCTGTTTTTGTCCATATTAGGTCTGAAACTCACTCCTCTCTCTTTCCTTCTCCCCCGCCTCTCCTAAAGCCCCAAGTGATTAAATCAAGTATGTGGGATTTGGGTTAGAATCGTTGTGTCCAATCTGTAGGAATGCCGAGTTAGTGCCAGCCCCCTTGGCAGGGACCCAGTGCAGGCCCTCTCTGAGCACGCCAGGACAAACATGCTCTTCCCTGGGGGCAGCAGGCCCACTGCAGAGCAACAGTTCTGCTCCATCGATTCTCCAGCAAAGGCAGTCTTCAAAATGCTCCTCTCCAAGCCCAGGGGATCCAGGGACATGCTGGCCTCTTCCTGGCTTGACTACCTGGCATCTGGACTATTCTATATCCCCTCAACTCCACTCAAATGGACATTCAATATCCAAATATCCCTTCTCCTCAAACTATCTTTTGGAGGAGATCCGAGGGTACCAGATTGGTAATAAAGGACCTGGATCAATTCTGGCTCTGTCCTTCACTGGCTATATGTCCTTGGGCAAGTCATTTCACCTCAGGGTCTCAACTTCCTAATTTATAGATCAGGGAAAATAATATCCCTTGGACTATTATGAGAGCTAGAAAAGYGCAACCAAACAAAACAAAAAATCCAAGACATACTTAAAGTGTCTACCTTAGAACATGATAGATCCTAAACAGGTTTATTCCCTTGGCTCTTTCCTTCAATGTTCAAAGTTTGGCTTCCCCTTCTAGACCAGCTAAAGTTCCTTGAGATTAGGAACTCATCAGCATGTGGCCTGACCCACAATGGGAACATGAGAAGTGCTTCTAAATGAATAGCCAGAATCCTCCTATCAGGCTTCTCCCACTAAGACCTGGATACCCCAGAATATTATCAACAACCCAGTGACTTCTGGGGAGAGTTCAATAGGAACTAGGTCCTGGACCCAGCCCTCCCACTGGTACTCTACGACAATCTATTTCCCAGGACTGATAGGAAGGGAATTGGGAATACTCTTCTCTTAGAAAAATGGCTTTTGTTTTTAAAACTCAGAATCTTTTCCTAACATTCAAGGAATCTCTCCCGGTATCCCAGAGAAGGAACTTAGAGCTTTGTCTCTGCTCAGATTGTAGCTTTATCAGACAGGATTATTCCCTTTATTATGCTGACCAGTTATGGGGGTGAGGAAAGTTGTCCTCTACCCAATTTGATACGTATACACACACTGCTGGAGTGATATGATCTCAACCAGAGGTAGCAATCAGAGCCCATAATCCCAAAGAAAATGAATGAAAAGAAAAAGTATAGAAAAGCTAAAAAGATGATGAACCAAAAAAGGTGATCCACTCTCTGCCCTGATTTCAATATTCACATTCTAAGATCTAACTGGACAGGCTACTCTGAGCCCTGCTATCCTAGAGGTGCCTCATCTGTGAAAGTGTGTGTGTCAGAGGGTCACCCAGGGGCAGATTGAAGGATTTCATACAAGCTAAAGTATGTAGACGTAGACGGGCCAGAAACATACACATACCCTGGCCCATTCCCTGCAAGCCAGCCCCAGAGATGTGAGCCCTACTCACCAGTAAGCGCCTGCAGTAGCCAAAGCGTCTGCTGCCATCTTCCCCAGTCAGCATAAAAGAAAAGGTCTCACTGGGAACAGAAAAGAGGGAGMGATCTAATCCCCAAGAATAAGAACTGTCATCTCAGGGATTAGAAGAAGATTGAAATTAATGTAGGAGAGTAGGCTGAGACTAGGACAGGGCTTAACTGTCCAGGGCTATGTGGGGAAAAAAGAGTCTATCTCCAATCATTCCAGGATGGGACTCACCTGCTATATTCTGACACAGGAATCCAGTCCTTGGCATCTGGGAAACAAAACTGGGGAATGGCTTTAAGCCTTTCCTCTGCCTCCCGCATCTGCTTAGTGGGTCGGTCCAGCTGCAGGAAAAGAAGAAAAAGGGGAGAAGACACCAAGAGATGACAAGGAATCTGGGGGTAGGGGCAGAGGGCAGCTGAGAAGCATCTTCTTCTCGGACAGCTCTAGAGGCCACCCTACCAACTAACAAGCTTTTTGGCAACACTTGTCCTGATCCTAATTCTTACAGAGGTCTGAGTGTGAACTGAAATATCATTCATTCATTCATTCATTCAATCAGTCAGTCAACAAATGCCAACAGAGTGCCTTGCATGTGGCATCTGATAGCATGCCCATATGCTGGGCAAAGTGGACAAGGTCCCTGACCCTGTGCATTCTGGTACATGAACTACAAAGGAAACAAGCAGAGTAATATGTGAAAGAGAAATGGGCAAGAAGAAGGGCCACATCAGTGCATCTGGAAAGACCTTGGAAGAGGGGCCACTTGAGCAGAGTCCATAGCCATATGAACAGCTGGAGAAAGACAGGCAGAGGCAAGGGCAGAGAAAAAGGGCTTTCTCTTCTCAAAGGAACAAATGAGACCAGGCTGGCTGATGATGAGTAGAGGAGAAGTGGTAAGAGATAAGGTAGGTGGAGAGGTGGGGAGTAACTGGAAGTGGGCCCATTTTCTTTTTGGGGCAATAAGACACTCTAAAATTGTAAAGTTCTATGAATATATTAAAGAACACTAAACTAATATGTGGAAACTAAAGCATAATTAAAGGAAAGAAGACAGTGGGGGGAGGGGTCYGATATCATAAAGATATGGAGAAGGATCAGTGGAGTAGAAGTAAGAGGGAAGAAGGAAGTGACAGGGAAAGAAATATGGAACAAATCTAACAGAATCATGTTATATACACACATGAACATACCAAAGGGACTATATCCTATAAGTAAAAAGTATCAACCAAAGTTAAATTAATAAACTGTGAAAGGAAGATCAGCAGAATGGAGGAGAGAGAAAAGGGGGAGGGCTTAGGAGGGGGAACAGGGATTGAAATCAAGTTCCATGTATGTATGTCAAAAGGAACCCAGATACTATGTATAAATATAATGCTCTAAATTAAAAAACAAAAACAAAGAAAGAACACTGAATTGAAAACTATAGAGTGGTTGGGGGAGAAGGGCAGGTAGGAAGAGTAGCTGGGGGCATTCCTCAGCCCTCATCCTCTGAATAAGCACTGGCCCAAACCCACCCCAAAGCCCTGTCTTCCCTCCTGGATATGAGGAGGCAGGCACAGGGCTGTGGTGACTGATGGAGCACTACAACAGAAACAGGCTCTCTTCTTCCCAGATGGGCCAGGACAGGAGACAGCAGGCAGGGAGGTAGGGCAGACAAGGGGAGATGGCCTCACCTTGGGAAACTGGTAGGAGACTTCAGGGAGGTAGGTGTTTCGGGATGGCTTCTTCTTGAGGGATACTACCACAAAGTATTCAAAGAGCTCCCGCTCCTGCCACTCAAGCAGCTCCAGCTCCAAGGTCCGATAGCTGGGTGCACGCTTCAGCATCGACTGGATGTGGACCAGACGCTGTGTGTGGGCTGGGAGCAGGTCACACATCAGGGAAAAAGCAGGCTGGCCACTCACAGACCTCCCATCAGCTCCTCTACTCCTGACTCTGGCTCCATCTGTGGATCACCTCTAAGTGCATCAGCCTTGTCTGACATCCTCCCTTAGCTAAGTGAGATGTGGCAGGAACAAGGCATCGACATCTGCACAAAGACTCTGCCCTACCACAGGAAGCCACCAGCCTGGATCTTCCTAGAACCTCTGAAGACTGATCTGGGGTCAATAGGACTACCAAGGTTAGGCAAGCCCTGAGACATATCATTGGCACMTACCCTTTGGTCCTTCTTAGTACAGAAGGCATGGACCAGAATGTATGAACATCCACAAGGGTCTCATCCTTTGTTGCTTGGGCTGCCCCTAAGTCCAAAGTCCACATGCCTGGGAAACCCATGGAGGAAGGGTAGAAGGAGCAAGTTTCCATGTACTTTAATTATTCTGGGAGGTCTAGGCAGGGTTTTCCAGTAGAGAAAGCACAGAGTTGTAGCAGTCTCTTCTCTAGAGACTGGGGAGATGAGTGGTCTCRGGGCCTCCAGAGGACCAGTTTCCTCAGTCTCTGGTACAATTCTTGCAACCAGAAGAGGTACTTGTAATCTGAACCCATCTCTGACACTAGATTTACATTTACCAAGCAAATGTAGTGCCCAATTCCCATGGATAATGGCTTAGGAAAGTATGCTTAGAGCCATAAGTACTAAATTTGGCAAAGGGAGATCAACTTTTTGAATTAACATCACAGGGCTGAACTATAAGAGTAGACTTCCCTACAACTTCCTGCTCTGGTGGCCTAGCAGCTTGCCTACCTGTTGCTTTTCCACACCAGTTTCTTTAGGGACATTGGAACCACCCTTGCAGAGGAAGGGAAGACTAACTGCTGTTGCAGCCAGAGGTGGGAAGTGATGTCATGCCTTACCTTTGAACCTGTCGTCAGAGTCGCTCTCACTCTCACTATTCTCATCTGGAAAAGTAACAGCAGGAGTGCAAGTTTGCTGAGCCACTGCCTCACAGCAAGTTTCTGGTGCCCCCAACCCCACAATTTTTCTATGATGGATAAATCTGTATCTAGTCTAGGCTGCTGTGGGCCCATGGGCAGGCATCTGTGGGCAGAAGTTCAGTGACCTGGGGCCAGGGTCCCTCAGACTTCAGTTCATTGGTGCTATTCTATATACAAACACCTAACAAGCCTGGTCTCAGGGAAGCTAAAGGCCCAACTTAGAGGATGAGCCAGCAGAGAGGCCTACAGGCTTGGAACATAAGGGCCCTGCCTCTAGCAGGCCAAGATTTGAAATGGAAAACAGACCACAGTGTTCAGTGAAGTCTGGCCTTTCCTTTTGCTATGAGCAGATTCCCACACCCACCTCCCTACACAGAGCCTCAAGCCTGAAGGAACCCATCCCAGGGCTGACTTCCGTCTCTTGCTCTCCTTCTCTAGACATTTCCTGGCAGGACTACCCTCCCTGGAGGCCGAAGGACCCCAYAACTGGCCTGCAGAAAGGCAAACTAAAGGAAGCCCACATTTCTCTCCATTCATAATGTCCAAGGGCCCCAGATAGTTGAACCAGCTCAGACACCAAGGCCTACCTCTCAGTGATGCTGTCTCAAGGCTGGACATAGAGAGCTTTTTTAACCTCTTCTTTCCCCTCTTGGCATTGTAGATGGAGTTAATTCTTTGGACAAGCTGGATGAGAAAATCAGAGAAGGTAAGGTAACCCTGACACCAGCTGCCCTAACTTCCAAGAATGGATTAGGAGCCCATCCTTTCCCTTACTGGTACAAGCTTTCTACACCCAACCCACTTGGCCCAGCAATGGTCTTCCTACTGAAATGATCTCAAGTGGGAACTCACCAGCCATGCCTGGTAGCTCTCCATCTACTCTGTCCCCTAGGAGTGGTCTTCTTCCCCAAGACAAGGACACTAAACTTAGCTCCCCAGAGGAAGGAACTGTGATCAAACTAGACAGGATGGGAGCTCCTGGGTCCCAAGAGTCATTGAACCAACTGAGACAAAGAGCTCCTCAGATGCAAAAACAGGAACAAGGATTCTAGCCTTTCCCCTCTGGAGCATAACCTGGGGCCCTGACAGGAAGAAGTTAAATTCCCAATATACCCAAGCATTGTTTGCAGGCTAAAAATACCATTTGGCTAAATCCTGCTGCTGTGGGCTGGGGACTTAGGACTAACTGCCATGTGTGCAAATCATTGCTGAAAACTCTACAATTTCTAGTGTTATAAAAAGGAAGGCCCGTGTTTGAATTCTTAGGTCCCTGAAACCCTAGAACTGTTTTGGTGTACACAGAGACCCTCAAATTCACACATCACACTCACTAATGGGGAGCTAGCTTTTTCTTCTGATATCTGAGCACCAAGAAGCAGTTAATRCATCCTTATTGAAAAGAAAAGGAAATTAATATGGTGAAAAAGGGCAGTGCAAGGACCCATAATTTACTTAAAAGGAAATGAGAAAGCAGCCCAGATTAAGGAAGGAAGGCAGCCTCCCTGCCTAGACCCATGCCTCCTCTCTCCCCATTGGGGGATACCTTGGGAATGCGGCGAGCCCTGCGGCTGGAGAGCAGCTCACTTGTGGTGCTGAGGCTGTCCTCGTTGAGGCTGGAGGGTGAAGATGGCAGGCTCAACTGAGCCAGCAGCAGCATGTCGTCATGGCTATGCCTCTTGGGTAATCGTGGCAGCCGGTGGCTCTTCCTTTCTGACCAGTTCCCACTGCGCAGGGACTGGCTACTGGGTTTCAGGGAGAGCTGACATGGGGAAAAGGATGTGGGAGAGAGGCTTGTCACAAATACCTTGGCCAGGTCATCTGTTGAACCTGGGCACTGAAGCCCTGGGCTGGCATCTATGGCTCCCTGAAGCCCATCCCGGAATTTCCATCTACCACAGCTTTCGCTTTTAAGACTTCATTGCCAACTGGCTAGTTCAGGAATAGATGAGATACTTAACTTGACCAAAGGAAGCCTCACTTCTTTTGCCAGAAATAAAAAAAAGCAGAGGCTAAGAAAACTGCACTTTCACCTGAGTGGAAAGAGAAGGCACATCAGGAATTCTCTGGGTACCTTATGAGCGTTGGGACAAAGATTACTGAGTCTGAATAATGGAGCCAGTCCCCAAAGTTTATCCTAACAGAGACCATAAACTACATGCCAGCTTGCTCTGCTGGATGATCCTGGCAGCCTGGCAATGCTCACTTCTTCCAGGGACAGCAGAAGGGCTCTGGGATCTATATTCAATGGACTACGTCACCACAAATATACCCTTCCAGTATGRGGTACCTTATTGGCAGTGGATCTTACATACTGCTAGGAAGGCAGGCACCCCCTGAAGACTCCCATAGTTGTCTCGATCTGGAGTTGCCTCTCCTCACTCTTCAGTAAATCCTCCTTCCTCCACAGCTCACAATCACCTCTCCCCACCCAATCAGTCTGGCACTACACATTAAATAATAGCCTATTTGAACAGAGCACATTAGAAGGGTATATCTTTTATTAAAAATAATCATATGACTCCAAAGCCAGAAGAAACCATTTATATATTCTCTGGTCAATATTATAAAATATTCAGGTCTCTCCATTTGCACAGAATAAGTTACTAGACAGGTCAGAGAAAGCCTCTCCCTCTCCTGAATCTCCTGTTTCCTGTCCAACAAGACTAAAATGAGTTTATGTCTAAGGACCTCCTTTGATTTTTTTTTTTTTTTACCTTTCCTCTCATTCTGCCCTCCTTCAGTCCATTCTTCAAGATTCATTCTTACTTCCTCCAATAGAGATGACTCTAGTGAATATCAGGTTCTCCAAATCTGGTTTGGGGCCTATACCTGGCCCCCACATGCCAGCACTGAGATAATTTCTGAGTTGCAGAATACCAGAACTCCAATCAGGGCCCTTCTTTCTGTTTCCCACAGAAGGGGAGGATAAATACTAAGACAGGAGATCTCAGGGGTTCCTGGCTTAGTTTTGCAGCTCAGAGGTCAGGCAGTAAGAGAAAGAAGGTAGGAGAGGATTCCCCTAAGAGGATAATTCAATTTTCCACAGGGATTTCAATATGGCAGAAGTCCCTGAGTGCTGAGCTCTTTCCTGAGGTAGTCTTCTCTGCCAAGTGAGGGGGAAAGTCTGAGTGAGAGCTAGGCTTACACCTTGAGAGAACAGGCCTTCAATGTGGCCCTCACAACTGTCTCTACAGGCCTGTGTTGGGGCTGCATTACCTGCATGGGTGGGCTGTTGTACTTCCTGTCCTGAGGACTCCACATCCTGTGCAGAGAGTCCAAGGAGTTCTCAGACAGTTGCTGAGATTTTCTTCCAGCTCTTCGGCTCTTTAAGTCCACATCCTCATATGGATTCTCCTTGGGCAGCTCTCCTGCAGAGGAAGAAAAGTTAAAGAAGGGGGAGAAGGGAAGAAGGAAACACACAGAGTTACWCACACACACAAATAAACAAGTAGAATTCCTGTGAACCAAAGAGAATGGTTTCTGCCTGGTCCCTTTGGCTCATGAGTCACACAGCTGTCTGTCTGCAGTGGGAAGGCTACAAACAGATCCTGGCTTCAAGTCCAGAAGCTGAGCACCGGCACCCCCACCTCCAGTTCAGCTCAGCTCAGCCTTGTCCGGCCTCTGCTTTATAAATTCAGGGATTGCACAAGACTGGCTCAGCTACTCCTGCCTGTGCCCAGCAAGAGGACAAAACCAGCATCAGGAGTCTGTCCCTGGCTCCAGTCTCTCTCTGTTGGTAAACCCCCATCCCACCCCTGACCCAGGGATATGTACCTCTTGGTAGGAAAGGCTTTCAGAAATCACACAACTGCAACTCTTGGTGGGTCTCCATGGAACCCAGTTTTGGGGGTGGTCATGCAGGAACTCAAAGAACCTAGTCTAGGGAACAGGGCTTTGCCAGGCTTCCCTCTTACTTATTACACTGTTCAACAATTCTTTTAGGGGAAGGATGTTGTCTGAGGCAACCCCAGAACCAGAACAATGATTATCAAGTAGTAAGTGCTCAGTAATTATTTGTTCAATGGATCTCTCTGATCACGGGTCAGTCTATTTCCTCTACTGCAGATCTCAGCAAAAAGAACTATCATCACTCCCTTCTTGGCACAAAATATCCTGCTGTGACACACGGAGGTGTGAAGGCTTGGAAGGACTCTGGGCCAGAGAGTGGGGGTGGGAGAGTTTCTGCTTCTCAGAACCAGTTTCTAAAACCCTGGCAATAGCACCATATTGACACTACTAGAAAATTTCAAAAAAGTCCAAAACATAGTCCCTGCTTTTGAAGAGCATAAGATTTTGAGACATTCTTTGTCATAGCTAGAACCTCCTGCCCCTTCCAACACATGCCTAAAATTTTCTAGAATACCATGAGTCAGGTTAGACATGGCTTAATTCCAGCAATAGAATCATAGTAGGGACAGCCCTTTGCCCTTGTCTTTCTGTATCTTCTCCCCAGTCCCAACAGCACTGTTTGGGACTTGGGACCTAGCATTATTTGGGTACCAGTGACAAGAATAGGCTTTGCTGAGGTTAGTACATCTGGTGAAGCTGGGCTCACTTCAACATCAGCAGCAGGATTTAGCCTGGGTGACTACTGAGTCCCACGCTGTCCTGTGACTTACAACCCAGAGCAGCTCAGACTGCACTCCTCTGGCAGCAAGCAGAAAAACTATAAGACTGGAAACAAAGACTGCTGGGAATGCAAGCACTCCCAGACAGACCATAAGAGAAAAACCAACCCCTATATTCTTAGAAAGTCCTCAAACAGATGAGGTTCCTTCAAATTGTGGCATACTTATTAACATCACGAAAAACCACAGTGAATTCAGGAAGTACTTTACACAGGTGGAGGTGTGAAGTGAAAATTGCAGTCACAACTAATGAGACTACAGTGGGAACAACACAAATCTCTATAAACTTATGAGCCAAGGATGGGTCAAGGAAAGATTCAGAACTGGATTAAGTGATTCCCAATACCAAGCAGGGTCCCCAGCAATGGAGCAAATCTTTTCCTGTAACACTCATGCTTTTGAAATGACTTGTCTCCATTCCAGAGCCCTGACTAAGCAAAGCCAGCCCACTAGCTCTGCTTCAAGAAGCCAAATATCAAACCAAGCATCCCCTGCATGATTTCTTCAGCCCACTCCACTGTGGGGATGCTTTAGGAGGAGTCAGGGTGGACTTTCTACTTCTTGGACCCTCTCCAACATATATCCTGTAAAGTTGAGGTGGTAAAGGGGATTAAGAATAGAATTCCAGAACACATTCTTCCCAATTCCATAAAATGTTCAGAACCAGAGCATCAGTGTCCAGATCAGGGCAGATTTGTTCCAAGTTTATCAAATCCAAATTGCCTTGGATACATGACCAGTCAGAATCCTTATCATCATTTCAACCCATCGGAAGACCTGTCTCAATCTGTTTTGATCAGAGTTTCTCTAAGCTAATGACATTTTGGGTTGCTAGACTGACCTGTCCATTTGTAGGAAGTTTAGTTGTCACAACCCTGGCCTCTATCAATTAGCTGACATTAGTATCCCTCAGATGTAACAACCAAAAATACTGACACTGCCAAATGACACCTGTGGGCAGACAGGTGAATGGATAGATGGAAGGAAGAGAGGAAGAGGAGAGATGGATGAAATTGCCCCCCATTGACAACCATTGCTTCAGAAAGATATTTCTAAACTTCCTAATAGCTTCTGAGCACCATGCCATGAGTCCCAAGACTAACCCTCTTTTCCTTCATCTTTCCCCTCCTTTTCTTCTCCCTCCCCTTCCTTTTCTTCCAGAGTAAGAGCTTTGAAATGTGATAAAAAATCTAAAGTTCCAAGAACAAGATGTAGGACGCTGAGGCCCTGAAGTAATATACTATTTATGCATATCTGTGATATTTTTAGGGAAGATAGTTGGAAATATCAGGTTCTCCACACTACTACTGTCTCTAGAAACTTGATTACAGGAAGGTCTAAAATGTTCACTCCTCCTACCCAGCCCTAATGCCAGTCTCTTTCTTTTCTAATGTAACCTATGCCCTTATCACTTCTCCAGGAAATAAATGCTGCCCCAGACCAGGCCCTTCCTCCCCACCCTCAGTTAGGTTCCTTAGCAGCCCTAGTCCATCTGTGACCCCCAACTTTACAGATTATCCCTGACTACATAACAGATTCTCTGTCATCTCTCCAGACAGGAAGGATGCCCCAGGGATGTGGGTGTGCAAAGAATAAGCAGACCCTGAGTCCCAGAGCCACTAAACTGAATTTGCTGAGACCAAGTAAACATCAAAGCAAAGAGTGGGAAATGGCAATCAGAAAGTCCTACAGGGAAACAACTACAGGATGGCTGGAGAAGCCAGAGCTGAGTGGAGAAGCATGGGATGATTTAGCAGGCATGGACAGGAAACAGGAAACGTGACAGACAGCAAGACTTCTACCTGGGTTCTTGCCCACATGGCCTGCAAAGGACAGTTCATACTGAGCTTGGAGAGGGATAAAGAGGTAGGCTGTCTTCTCGGGAGGCCTGGCCCTTATCAAGCTCAGCTGGAGAGGCCAGAGGTCTCAAACTTTCCCAGCTTTGCTAATGAAATAGGCGACAAGGGCATGACCACAATTTCTGTTTTGCACTCTTCTAAAAGGGACTTGTTACAGCCCAATCTTAGCACATTGATCCTCTTGAAGGAAGAACCCAGCCCCACCAGGCCCTGTCCCTACTCCCACTCCTCCCCATAGCTCCTTGGGTTATTAAACACACGTGCAACACCCACCCCCTCCCCCTATCCCCCAACTGGAAGAACCAGTTAGGGAGTGTGTGTATATGCACAGAATCTGAGAATTTCTCCAAAGTCCAAGCTTCCTGGACCATACCCATTGCTAGGGCCTTGGTCTGCAGCTTCCTTCCCCAACCTTCCTCTTTTTTCCAAGTGGCTGTTTCTCCTGGGTCTCCACCTCTCCCCCTCCTTCTAACAGTAGAGAAAGGATGAGGCCAGGGGCCCAACTCCCTGGGGCCAGCTTGTTACCCACCCTCCAAGCCTTGACACCAATTCCCAACAGCCCCAGCACCTTTCCCTGGGCTGCACCTCTTGGCTGCTTTGCTTCCTGCTGCAACCTCCATCCTGGTAGGTGCCCTCTGTTCCTTACTCTTGCCCAGCCTGGAGGTGAATGAGAGAAGAAGGCAGAGAGAGTGTAGGCTCAAAAGGCTTTGCAGTACAGGCTGACTGGCCCTGTCCCCAGCTTGCATCCCACTAAAGTTCCTGGAAACTCTCCCTCAGCCCTAGCTAGCTGATGGGAGTGGGAATCTCTGCAGGAATGCAGCCCAGGCTCCTTGGTTGGGCGCCGAGGCCACTCCACATAACTCCCTAACAAGCTGCTTCCTTGGGTGAATTCTTCAGTGTCAGGCTCAGAATGCAAATGATTTTAAGACTTTGCAGAACAGCAGCATCTTACAAGGGCAGATATCAAATTAGATGGGCAAGAATTAAACAGCCCCAGGAAGCAGCACGGCAGCAACTTTCTTTTTGAATCTTTCTATTATAAGTTAGCAGGCAAAACCTCAGATATCCTACCCCATTTCCCCAGGCATAATGCCTGGTGTGGGTTCAAGGCCAGTGGATTCCCCAAGGCCCTTCATTCAAGTTCACTGCACACAGTGAAGACTCTGGGCCAACAAGTCCTCAACCTCCTAACAGACTAGGGAACTACAGTCCAATCATCTGTACCCAAGATGGAGATTTAGCATGGGTTCTTTCTGCCTTCCTTTCAGCATGAGCATCACATGCCTGAAACAAAGCTCCAYTTGTTCCTGTGGGTTTGTCCCTGTGGACAAGCGACACACAAGAGCTGAATAATCCAGCCAGAGTCAGAAATAACCTTAAATCCACAAAGTATAGTCTGGTGGGACAATCCAGAGGGCTCCCAGAAAGTCGGAGCCACTGGTCAAACTGGGGTTAAAAAGTGAAATCTGACATTCAGAGTTCAATAACAAGAGACCCCCTGAATCCTTTAGGGGGGCCCCAAATTCTTTGAACTCTCTCCAGGGAGGGAGAAAAGGATAAATCAACCAGTATCTAATAGGAAGAGAATATTCTCCCTTGTATTTCCCTCTATCCTCCCTGGTGAGGTTCTAGAAAATTCAGACTGGGCTGCTGTGGGGGAAAAATATGTTCTAACTGCAGACTCTCAAGACCACTTCCACCCCAACCCACAAAACCTAAATACCAAAAACAGGTGCCTGGATCACTTTCCTGCCCTATTTCCTGCAGCCTCCCCCTTTCAGTTTTCTCCTGTTCTCTACACAATGCTCCAGTGATCCAGAAGCTAGGTGAGCAGTTAAGGAAGATCCCCCAACCCCAACTTTACCCTGTATATTCCTTACCCCTCGCTCTACCTCATTCATTCAAGAAGCAACCAGCTGCTCCTATGTTTTCTTGCCACCACATGGAACATCCCAACGTGGAAGGAAGTCTCTCTGAGTGAACAGAAGAGGCCCAGACACTTGACTCCTCTCTGTGCTCCTTCTAACTAGACCTAAAGCAGCCCAGGAAACAGTTCTGTTGTCTGGTGCCTCCAAAACTTTTTCCTAGACCCTTCCCCTAAATAACCAGCAGAGTCCTGGATCATGAACTCTGGACAGGGAAAAACAGTTGAAGCTATCTATCCCCTTCTCTTATTTCCATTCAGTTGCTAAAGAACATATCCCCACCTGGATAATGTTCTTGGGCAGCAATATAAGGGTTCCAATTCTTGTCAGAGAACAGTGAGGACTACAGTTTTCTAGGGCTGGGTATGCTGGGGAGATAACAGAAAACTCCAGCCTCTCTGACCACTGTGGCAACAGCCAAAGTAGATGTTCTCAAGAGCCCTGGGCAGCAGTGATATTACAATTTGAGTGTAAACTCAAAAGGCTTTGCAGTACAGGCTGACTGTCCCTGTCCCTAGCTTGCATTCCACTGAAGTCCCCAGAAGCTTTCCCTCAGCCCCAGGGCAAAGATGAACTAGAGCTAGGGGAAGGGGCTGTATGAAGTAGAGTTGGGATTGGGACATCTTCCTTAATAGTTCATCTCATTTCTGAATCTTTGGCTCTGATCCCCATAGCCCTACCTTAGCTCTGGGTGATCATGGGTACAAAGCTGTCACTTCCCCCAAAGAAAGGGAAAAGTCCTCCCTCCCAAAACTGTTCAGTTGTTTTAGGGCTCTCACTCCTACAGTCTTCCTACTATGGTCCAGTACTGCATGGCTACATACTATATGCATCATTCCTGGATAATCTGGGTCGGAGCACGGCTGCTAATCTCCCCAGAAATGCTAGTCTAGCAAGATGTAAGGAGAAAACTATGAAAGTGATGGCTCTGATCAAATGACCAACTAAATGGTCATCTCTTCACAAGATTCTCATATTCTGAAAATTTGGAGGATTCACTCTTTCTCTAATGTGTAAATTCTAAGACTATGCTCTCCAGTTTCCAAACCAAAGACATGGTGGTGCATGCCTGTAATCCCAGTGACTCCAAGGCTGAGGCAAGAGGATTGTAAGTTCAARGCCAGTCTCAGCATCTTAGCAAGACCCTCAACAATTAGTGAGACCCTATCTCGAAAAAAAAATGTTTAAAAAAGGACTGGGGATGGAGTTCAGTGGTAAAAGTGTCCCTGACTTCCATCCCTAGTCAAAAAGAAAAAGAAAAAAAGGTTCTGAGGGCAGAAGCAAGCAAGCACACAGCACACCACTTACCTCCCCTTCACTGACCTACACTAAGACACACACTTTATTTAAGCAGAATCAAAGCCCCCCACTGAAGAGGATGAGATCAGAATTAAAATGAATGCCAAAAATGAACTCAACTCAGCTTAGACCATCTATTTTTTGTTGACCTTTGCACTCAAGTTTGCCAACACCATGTTCTTCCACTTGTTGGWAACAATTTTCCATGGAGTATTGCATTTCTGCCCTTCTTCTGAGCAAAGGACAGTTCTGGACTATATTTTCCAGGATGTTTAAACAGCCTTGGAAAATGGAGATATTTTTCTCTCTTCTGAGGAGAGAGAGATTTATTTCCTGATCAGGAATGGTAATGTTTCCTTGTAGGCAAAGGTTGGCAGGTTTTCTGGTAGCCCCTGAGAAGACTAGGCTTTACCAAGACTAGGCTCTCGGGTTTTTCAGCTGGGACACAGTATGGAGCTTCTACATGGGCCTCCGCTATACTGCCACATAGGACTTGTGAGCAAGGGGGCCCAGGGGAACAGTAAGCTCATGCTGCCTGCTGTGTCATAAATAATAAAGTACTTTATCTATAACCTAAAAGTCTGATGTCTTCTAAAAGCATCTATGAATCTAGGGCTATGAAATTTGTTAGCTTATACTAAAAACAATGTCTGTGCCCCCTGAAAATGCATATGGTGAAACCTAATCCCTAATTAGCACTGGTAGGTGGGGTCTTTAGGAGGTAATTAGGTCAAGAGGACAGAAACTTCATGAATGGGATTTGTGACCTTATAAAAGGGACGCCAGAGAACTCCCCTACCCCTTCAGTCACATGGGAGATGACAGATGTCTTTGAATCAGGAAGCAGGCCCTCACCAGACACCGAATCTGCCAGTGTCTTATTCTTAGCTCATATAATTCTAACAAAAACCTTAAAAAGTATTATTACTGTTACTATTTTTATGGTGGTTCATATCACATCATGATCACTTTATAAGAGAAAAACAGAGCCCTCACAACAGTTAAGTGATTTACTTAAGGACACACAGCTAAGAAGAGTGCCTGTTGGGTTCTCATGTCTCAAAAGTAAAAGAAAGGAATGATTCATTTTTCCCTTCATGTGATCTCAAAGGCCTTTTGGATTTCAGTTCACTCTAGGGTTAGGCTTTAGTCACTCAGCTGCTCTATCTTGCTAAGGTACTTCCTCTGATGCCCATTTCAAGAAGGCATTCTCCAAGACAAGAACACATCTGCCCACAGGCAAACCTGTGAGGATCTCCTGTTTCCTATTCTTTTGCATACCCCAGAGATGGCCCAGCCCACCACATCTTCCACTGCTTACCCACAATATCTTCATAGGCATTCTCTTCTAAAGTGCTTTTGGATCCAAACTTGGGTTGGCTCTCAGTACCATTCTCAGTGGGAGAAGAGGGGTATAGGGACTGGAGACTGGATGCATCCTCAAACTCAAAGGATTTTCTGTGAATAATAAGAGCAAAAGTCATTCCCACTGAGCCAGATCCCTGCTGCCTCGTTGGGAAATGGCCACAGACAACAAAAACTAGAGGCTCTCCTCAGAAAACCAGCTACCGAAAAAAAGCATTAAGGTGGATCCAAACTTTCCATGCAAATGAGAAGGTATGGTGTAAAGGGTCCCAGTGCGGGTGCCTGCAATATGCCTCATCCCTAATAACACCAACATCAGGTAATGGTTACCACAGCTTAAAAGCATGCTATGCATCACACAGAGGTAGGAGAGGCCCCTCTGAGGACCACTGATGATACAGGATATTTGGGATGAGGTCAGAGGAATGTAGCTCGGAGCACCAGGGAAGTCTGGAGAATAGATGACAGCTCATTTTTGGCAGGGAGGCCTCTAGACACTTCTCACATTTGTTTGTTGGTGTCAAGTACTGCATCAAATGCACCTTTATACATATTATCTCATTAACCTTCATAATTGTTCTGACAGGTACTGTGCCATTTTACAAATAAGGAGATTGGAGTGACTGGTTGGCATGAGCTGGTTTGTTGAAATAGCAAGGACTAAACTCTCAAAACAAATCAAACTCCTCTGAGGTAGAGCTAGGAGGACAATCTACAAACTTCTCTCCAGGTAGCTGCCTGTTCCTTTCCACCCCTAGGTTACTGTCCCTCTACTGTGGAATTTCAATCACTGCTTATCAGTCCCTAAGATGCCCTGAGCCCACAGCACTCCTTACGCCTCTCCCCTCATCTAAGTTGAGACCCCAGATGTATCCTGTCCCTCTTCAAGGCAAGTCCCAGCGGGCTCCTGAGGAGGAATCCCTCCCATGAACACCTCCCTCTTCCAATGACATCCTTTTCTCTCTTGTTTACCAAACAACTACTAAGAATCCTAGGAAGCAAATCAATGACTGAAAATGTCCTAAAGACCACATTGTGTTGTTGGCTGGCCTGGCCCCTCTTCCACACTCAACACAATAGAACCTTCTACACTGGCACTCTCTTCCTTTGCCCCTATGACGCACTGCCTCCCAGTTTTCAGCTACCTCTCTGGCAGTTATTTTTCAGGCTCTTGTGAAGGATACTCTTTCACTTGCCTTTTAAATGCCAGGATCTGTCAGAATTCTGTCTTCAGGACTCTTTCCCCACCCCCATCTGCACCTACTAGAGGTAAATATCCATGGGCCAACACACCCTATCTAACACTCATACCTTGATGACTCCCAAATTTCTGTGTCTGGATCAGAAATTCTTGACTAGTTAAATATCCAACAGCTGAGTGTAGTGGTTCCCAAATGCTGATGTAAGACCAAGTACCGCTGGCACATACAGCAGAAAAGCATCAATCTTAGGCAAGCAGTTCTCTCGAGTCCGTGAATGAGACACAAATCATGCTCTGTCAAGTTATCCTTGAGAATCTCCCAGAAAGGTACTATATTGAAGACCCTCACATATTGTCTCTCATTAAGACAAATATAGTCAGTTCTTCCTGATTTTTTTAAACAGATTTCTTTTTCTTTGGTCAAATACCAGCAGATCTGCATTTTTAAAAAATGAAAAAATAGGGGGGCTGGGGATATAGCTCAGTTGGTAAAGTGCTTGCCTTGGCCCTGGGTTCAATCCCCAGTACCACCAATAAATAAATAAATAAATAAATAAATAGATAGATAGATAAATAAATAAATATTTTAAAATTATTAAAAAGTATATAAGAATCACACCTGGCTAAGAGGTACAAACTTACCAGTTCATTCTCCTCAGAGGAATATGTTCACCTTGTGGTAAGACAAACAGAACAGCTTACACTTTTAAAACTGTTTCTCTTTTTTCCAAGAGCAAAGATTTCATTTGCTAAATTCTTATATGAAGTAACTCTATCATATAAAGTGTATGTGATATTTATGTATATATTACATATAAATGAACTCTCCTCYATTCCCTCTTGTTACCTAGTTAACTGCTTCTAATTTTAGGTTAGCAATTCTGTCTTGGAGGGGCTTCCCCTCACTCCCTAGTTTAAGTTACCTGCCTCTGGGTATTTACAGAGTCCTGTGCTGACATGGGTCATGGAACACCTCACAGTGTCTACAATTTATCTGTGCACTAGTCCATGAAGTCTGTGAATGGAAGAACCATGTTATTTGCTTCTGTGTATCTTTGACCAGCACAAGGCTTGGTGCACAGAAAGCTCTGGATGGGTGTTTGTAGAAATGGATGAATAAGGACAAAGCAAACAATCCTGGCAGGCTGGTAAAGAATTAAAGAGCAACTGAGTATTCTGGGGTGGGCCAAAACATGGGATTAACCTTAGCCATAGGGTGTTCTGGCTCAGGGGTCTGAACCTTTGTGATTCATCCTCTATACACATGGCAGGAAAATTTAACATGAGATGGGATATGGTGGATGAAGCCCAAGGTATGGGAACAGACTGAAGAATCCCCAAAAATGAAACAAACCTGAATGTCCATCTGTCTTTGAGCTAATTGAGAAAGGCAGTGGGGGGGAGGAGAAAAACTCTCCCAAAGGAAGCTGGCTCCCAACCTTCAGAGAACAGATGCCTGTCAATTTTAACCAACTCCAGCAGCTCCAGCTCCCAAGTCACTGTGGGCCCTGGTAGTCCAGGGTCAGAAAGGCTGACTGGGAAACCAATAAGAAACTGAGAATAGGTAGTTCTTGGACTTAGCCAAGAAGAAGGTGAAATGTTGTTTTTTTTTTTTTTTCACTCCTTTTTCCATTAGTTTCTCATCTTTTCCTCCTCCATCGGTCTTCCCTTTCAAGATCTAAGAACCCTCTCTTGAAACAGGCCCAGAGTTTCCATATGGCTAGGAGGCCCTCAGGAGAGAATGCAATATTCAGATAATGCTTCACTAGAAAAGTTTCCAGTGCTGGCACTTCAGGTAATAGTGAGGCTGAGACCCTACCAGTCTCCTCAAGGGACCACCTGCTTGACCTAAGAATATGATGGCTCTGATCTTCCCATGAAGGATTAAGGAGTTTCAGTTGGGCTCAGGAAATAGCCCAGCTCTACCCTAAAGGCCAAACCCAGCCAACATCTGCAATACATAGAAATGGGAAGAAGTATCTTCATCTTCCCACGCTCATGCACATATCCTATGAGAAAAGAGAAACAATCTCATTTTTCACTACAATCACCACCAAACTAATGGTTATTCAGTGCTTCAGAGTCTAGGAAGCACTCCACACTACAATCTGCTTTTGCATCCTTCATTTAAAAGAAAGCCACTATGTCCCACTATAAGACACAAGGAAGGGCATGTTACCTGCTCTGGGACTTGCGATGACCACGCATGTCCTTCTTCAGTCTCCGGGTGACTGGTGGGGCTGGGGTGGAGGGCAAGGGGGGTGGAGCAGCAGGTGTGGGCGAAGGAGGTAGACCATTGCTTGGCTTACTCTTGGGGTTCTTGTCAGCCTCATATTCAAAGGTGCGCTTGGGTTTGGGGACAGGGTTCACAGCGGGATCAGGGGAGCTCTTTGATGGCAGCAGCTGGGAGTTAGGATTATTTCCAGGGGTCCCTGGCTTCAAGGAACCACTGCYTTCCCTCTCCAGGGGCAGGCCTGCCTCCCCCCCAACTCCAGGCACTCCTGCTGCCCAGGTGCCAGCGCTCACACTCGCGCTCCCTGTTGGTTCCTCCAAGGTGTCCAAGGTTCCTGTCTTCCTTCTCCCACGATCTACACTGTAGCAGCTGCTGGGGAGCTGGGGGAGCCCCCGGCCTGGCTGCTCCTTCAGGGCCTGTTCAATTTTCTGGATCCGGCTCAGCACTGCTGAGCTTTCTTTCCTGCTGCCATGCCCCTTGAGGAAGGCACTGGGCTCACTCCGGCCTGGCCGCTTCTCCAGCCGGTATAAAGAGTCCCGGACAGGGAGTGTCTCTGCCTCTTCCTCGGTCTCAGGGTAGGAACACTCAGAAAAGGTCCTGCTCATCCTCCGGAGGCCCTTGAAATCAAAGGTCTTTTCTGAGCTGCAGGGGGATGGCACCACGCTGGGGCAGCCCACGCTGGGGCAGCCCTCACTGACTACCCACTCACCCCCAGAGGCCTCCCGCTTCTCTCCACAGAGGCTCATCCTGGGCGAAGTCTCTCGGCGACCTTCCCATGCTGAAATCTTCTCCCTGATGCCCAGGCTGTGGGCACGGGTGCCAGTGCGGGTCAGCAAGACACTCCGTGAGCCAAGTGCTGGCCCTAGGAATGGGGTGCTCTGGGCAAGGGGGAGGCAAGCAGCTACTCCCTCTACATCCTGGGCCACACACTGGACATTCTCCTTTTGGTTCTCTCTTTTGCACACTGAGGGGCTTCTGTCCAAATAATTGGAGCTAGTGGCCTTGATAGGACAGATGGGTGGAGAAGTATCTGGGGAAGGATCTTGAGGATCTCGGAGTGAAGAATCACAGCGGTGCCAGTCCTTGAGAAGCACTCGGGAGCTGGAATGAGGAGGGTACCTGCAGGCTGAGGTTTCACTATCACTGAGGGGATAGATGGGACTCCTTGGTGGGGACAGAACTGGAGGTGGAGAGACTGACTGAGACCTAGGAGCAAAGAAAGGTTAAAAAAAATTAGTGAGTAGATTAAAAACCAGAGGTATCATGTTTTATTCTTAGAGAACCCAGCATCTCTTTCCTATAGAACTCTCAAAGTCAAAAGCACTCTGTTCAAGCAATGCACCTTCAAGGACGTCCTCAAGGRGAGAAATAGCTCCTAAGCCACATCAAGCCAAACTCAATGGGCCTCTTTGCCCAACTTGCCCCCAGAGACCCCACATAATGTGAGGAGCAGAAGCCTGTTCTATGACAGACTAGAAATCCCAAGAATCTGTATCTGCCAACAAGAGGTCAGTGAGATCAGTGATACACTATTAAATGGCTAACAAATTTCTACAGTATAAATATTCCTACTATTCCTCAGCTACTAATGTGATACCATTAAATATAGGGTGAGAGGGCAGCATGTAGAGTGATCAATTCCTGTGATACCATTAAATATAGGGTGAAAGGGCAGCATGTAGAGTGATCAATTCCTGTGTGCAGCTTCAGCACACACTATTTCCTGAAGTAACCCAAATACATACTTTGATCTTTCCCTGAACTATTAATCCCCTCTCCCCCACACCTATGTTACTGAACACAAAATCCTACTTCCTCACTTGGGTCCTAACAGGAACTAGGATTCCCCAAGGGCCAGAACAAAGTTTAAAAAAAACCCTCAAGAAAGAGTCCTCTCTGCCCTCTCAATCAGGAGACCAATGGAGAAGGGACACAACTCCTTAGATAGCTCCATCCTACAAAAGTGGCATCACATCCAATAAGCCTCAGCTATCTTCCAGCTCCAAAATCCATATATAGACCTTAGCAAATACTAAAAACAGTTCTCAATGGTTTTACACATATTAACTTATTTAATCTTCATGTAAGTTTTATAAGGTTATTATTATGTGTTACTACTATTAACTTCATAGTACAAATCAAAGACACTAAGATATGTTAAATATCTCATCCAAGGTCACTTAGTTGGTAAGGGAAGACAGGACATAACCTTACACTACATTATGCTGCCTCTCTATAATGATTAAGCAGTAGCCTCTAACATCTTTTTTTTTTTTTTTTTTTTTTTTTTTAGTGCAAAACCAGAGACACTTAACCACTGAGCCACATTCCCAGCTTATTTTATTTTTTATTTTGAGACAGGGTCTTGCTAAATTGCTGAGGCTGGCCCCCAACTTGTGATCTTCCTGCCTCAATCTCCCAAGCCTCTGGGATGACAGATATGAACCAAGTAGCCTCTGTCATCTTTGTGAACCACTGGGTCTTCAAATATGGCTCAACAGAAACCCCTAGCACTGGGCACACACCAGGCTAGAATGCAGCATTTTTAAGTATCAGGGAATACTTTTGTCTTCCCTGCTAGATTATTTTTTCTAGGTCAAGGGACACATAGTCAGTATGTAGAAAGTGCTTAGCGAATGAACAAAAAAAGGAAAAGATAAAGGTAAATGAGCTTAATGAAGAGAACCATGAGCAAACTTCTACACGCATCTTTCTGTCTACTACAGAAATCATTGTCAAATTAAGGAACTCTTTCTGAATAGGTTTTGTTCAAAGATAGCAGGATTTGGCCAACACTGTACCTTGTAAAGACCTACCTGATCATAACACCATGGCTTTCAAAGCTGGACTCCAGAATGCCATGCTATCCACAAGACGGCAGCCAGCTGCTCCTGAGCCAAGCTGCTGTCACCGCTTGTTCATGTACAGAAAACTGGAGCTCGGGTGAGTTAGGCACTGGCCAAGAATTCCCTCTTGGGTCATAGCCTCTGGCTGCCCCCAATCAACAGGAAACCTCAACATGCTTAAGTTGTTTTTAAAAGGGCAAGTTAAACAAGAGCTATCCTACATGTATATGGGCACATATGAGAGAAATTCAGAGCCCAGCCAAGCCAATGCCAAAGAGACTGTCCAGTGAGGATATGTAAATRCAGCAAGCCTTAGTCCCCACTACGGTTAACTGGAGCAGGACAGTACACCAGGCTCCAGCCTTAGGAGATCTGACACAAACTTTAGGTCTCATTTATTTTATGGAACCATAGATGTAAAATATGTAGGATTTGACAAACACTGCACCTTSCAAAGACCTACCTGATCATGACACCATGGCTTTCAAAGCTGGACTCCAGAGTGCCATGCCATCCAAAAGACAGCAGCCAGCTGCCCCTGAGCCAAGCTGCTGTCACTGCTTGCTCATGTATATCCATCAGTCCTAGCCAGGTGCAGTGGTGCATGCCTATAATCCCAGTGACTTGGGAGGCTAAAGCAGGAGGATCATGAGTTCAAAGCCGGCTTAAGCAACTCAACAAGGCCCTAAGCAACTTGGTGAGACCCTGCCTCAAAATTTATTTATTTTTTTAATGAGGGTAGGGCTGTGGATGTGGCTCAGTGGTTAAGTGCCTCTGGATTCAATCCCTAGTACAAAAAAAAAAAAAAAATCTTCAGTCCATCCTCCTAAGCAAATGAGTGAAATGAGTGGTTACATTCCAAAAAAGGACTTGACTTTAGTTATTCTCATTTGGAGGTGAGATAAATTGTGTCCATCAGTCTGTTCCCAGGTTAGGGAAGAGTTCAGAAGAATCTGTCACCTAGAGCAGGGAGGCTTAAAAGAGACAGGTGTCAGGATGCTGGTTCTTTGTGACAATGAGTTTATAGGGCATATAGCACATGTTGGAATGAATGAGAGATTGTTCATTCTTGGGCTTCAGTTTCATTCTCTCTAATTGTTTCTTAGTCCTCAACTTGATATTGGAAATGAATGTAAGATAATTCTCCCCTTGCTGGGCAAGAGGAAATAGTGGCCAGCAGAATGGCAGTGCCTAGATCCAGGCAGTGTCAAGAAGCCAACCATCTGAGCAAACACTACTTTTATGTCTGGTCTCCACTCCACTACTGACAGAAAATCTAGCTTCCTTTCTTCAGAGCTCTAGGGACAGCTCCTTGATAACCTTCACTGAACATGGGAACAAAGGAAGATACCTATCACCCAGACCACAGTGTCAGCTGTACCAGCCTTGAGATGCACCTTGGCTCCTCACCCATCTGATCAATCTACATTGTGCACCAAGCACATTCTAGGTACCATTCTTGGTATTAAGGATCAGCAAAGAGTAAAAATATAAAGTCTCTTTTTCTATAGTTTACATTTTGGTAGACAAACACAGCATTGCTTCATTTTAGAGTGATTAGTCAGTAAGCAAAGCAATTCTGTCAGTTATGAGGCCAATAAAGAATAAAGGAGAGCTGGGTGTGGTGGTGTATGCCTATAATTCTAGCTACTCTGGAGGCTGAGACAGGAGAATAACAAGCTTAAGGACAGCAGGGGCAATACAGAGAGACCTTGTGAAAGAAGGAAAAGAAAGAAGGAAGAAATAAAAGAGAAAGAGATGGAGGGGAGATAGGGAAAGAAAGAAAAGGAAGGGAGAGAAGAAAGAGAGAGAGAAAGAAGGATAGGATGAGATTCATAGTGGGGATGAGTTTCTGCTTTATATAGGAAGATCGTGGAAGGCCCTTTGCCAGGGGAACATGTAAACATAACTGAAAGGAAGGAAGCAATGTGTTAACCCAGGGAAATAATGTTCAAGACAGACAGAGCATACAGGTTGAGACAATGGGATACTTACTGTATTCCAAGGGCAACAAGGAGGCCAGTGTGAAATAAGAGAAGAGCAGCGGGCTGGAGATTAGTCAGAGAGGCACCAAGGCCTCTCATGGAAGACACCAGGGGCCACTGATAAGACTTGGGCTTGTACTTAAAAGTAGAAGGAAGCTCCTAAAGGGATGTGGAAAGGAGTGGTGTGACCTGACTTCACATCAGAGAATGGTGTGTAGAGGTGTGAGGATGGAGGCTAATGAGAAGGCTACTGCAACAATCCAGACAAGGTCATTATGATGGCTCAGATTACAATGGTAGCAGTAGAGAGGGATCTATTTTGAGAGCTTGGTCAACAGGATTCTCTGATGAGCTAGATGAGGGGAGTGAGGGATGAAGTCAAGGATGACACAAGATTTTGGGCCTGAGCACTGGGTAAAATGGAATTCATATTATTCAATTCAATTTGGGAGTGATTAGTAATATACAGATATTTATTTTAGATTATCTGACCAGAGAAGGTCATCTAAAGTATAAACATAGCCAAAGAAGTCGAAGGACTGAATCCTGGGATTTCTTTCCAGTGTTTGAGGTCAGGATGAGGAGGAAACTAGCAAAKAAGGGCATTTGGTGAGGAAAGAGAAAAACCATGAAGAGTGATATCCTGAGAACTTCAAGAAATAGGGAGGGATTAACTGAGTCACATCTGCCAACAGTCATGTGAGAGAAAGTATGAGAAATGGTCATTTGATTTGGCAACATGGCAGTCACTGTGATCTTGATAAGAGAGGATATGGGAGATGTAGGAAGGAAAGCCTAACTGGAAGGAATTCAAGAAAATGGAAGGACAAGAAGTAGAAGAGGGAACAGAAATAGAAGTGGAGGAGAGTTCAGACAATTCAGTTTTCCTAAGAAAGGGAACAAGAAAATGAGATGGTAGTTGGAATGTGGAAGCATTTGGGTTAGGAGATATTACAGCATTTTTTAATGATATGCAATAAGACAGAACCACTGTCAGTACAGCACACAGAGGATACAAGTACAGGAGTAATGGTCGGTGGGCAGGGGGGAGGTAGGAACCCAATGCTCACCTAAAAGGGTTTGCCTTGACTGTATAGCATTCTCTTTGCCATCCACTTGACCCAGCTATCATCTCACATGGTCTCATCCCTGGGCTGTTCGGTGCTTCCTTGGCCCCTAGCTTTACTGGTGTTATGTACTGTCAACTCATTCATTAGAGGAGAGAAAAGGTCAGGGCTTTTCTTCCCTCTTCCAAGCATCTGGATCCAAACACCTCCCCCAACACACTAACCTTTTTGATGACCAAATCCTATCAGTTCTGCTTCTTGACATCTTTCAGATCTGTCCCCTCCTCACCAACTCCATTACCATTACT